TAATAGGCAGTAAGAGCACCTAGAGCTTCGGAAAGCTTCTGTTCTACCATCTCAAAGCTCCCTGCTTGACAGAGGCTGACAAACCATGAGATGGTGGCAGAACCTTGAGAGAGAGATATCTTGCACTCTCTGGGTGGGATGAATCAAAATGCGGAGATAAATTGCCATGATTCCACACTCACACGGAATTAATGACGTGGTAGGGGAACAAGCTGTCGCATTATGCAAGTCAAGACCCAAGAGTCTGTTCTTGACTGTCGTTGGCTGTTCTCCCAAAGACATACCAATGGCTTTGATCTTCCTGAGAATCAAAGAATACGATTCTGAAATAAAACAGTCTGATAACACAGAGGGAATATCGCTATCAGGGCCTGGAATGCAACAGGCACACACAAGAGAATCTTGAAAATATGAGGGTTGGATGAAAAGTAATGCCTCCACCTTTGTAACTCCTCAACAGATGGCAGTATTGGTATGCGACAGGTACTGGTTTGTTCAGTAGACTCTCCTCTACAATTCCATTTTGGCAGGAAGCCTTAGAATTTAACGGTTGTGTTGTTAAAGTGAGAAGTATGGAACCCTGTCCAGACGGTCGGTCAATCTGACTTAAGCTACGTATGCAGCAGGTACTGGCTTGTTCAGTAGACTCTCCTCTACAGTTCCATTTTGGCAGGAAGCCTTAGCATTGAACAGTTGTGTTGTTAAAGTGAGAAGTATGGAACCCTGTCCAGACAATCGGTCAATCCGACTTAAGCTATGTATGCAGCAGGTACTGGCTTGTTCAGTATACTCTCCTCTACAATTCCATTTTGTCAGGAAGCCTTAGCATTGAACGGACCTTCGTAACTCCTCAACAGATGACAGTACTGGTATTCAGTTGGCTTGTTCAGTAGACTCTCCTCTACAGTTCCATTTTGGCAGGAAGCCTTAGCATTGAACGGACCTTTGTAACTCCTCAACAGATGGCATTACTGGTATGCGGCAGGTACTGGCTTGTTCAGTAGACTCTCCTCTACAGTTCCATTTTGGCAGGAAGTCTTAGCATTGAACGGTTGTGTCGTTAAAGTGCGAAGTATGCGCAGGTGGTCAGTCAATGCAGAGGTAGTAATCTCACTACCTCTGAGGATGCTTGCCATAGATGCAGGTGAAACGTCAGGAGAGAATGCCTCTAGAACATGGCCATATAGCCCAAAAAACCTACAACAACCCAAAACGTTGACAGATTGATTGAGGATGATTGTCGTATCACTCAGAGAGAAATTTCAAGCATAATCGGCATTTTACAAGAACGTGTGGGTCACATTATTGCTTTGCTTGGCTATTGGAAGATCTGTGCATGATGGGTACCCAGGATGCTGACGCCTGAAATGAAGGCGCACAGACTTCTGAGACAGGATCTCACCACCGTATGGCATCCTCTGTCTGACTTCCATCTGTTCCCAATAATAAAAGAAGATCTGAAGGGGCATAATTATGCTTCTGATGAAGACGTTGAGGGAACTGTGAGACGCTGGTTGAGGAAACAGAGTATCGACTTCTTCTGTGACAGCTTCAGAAAATTTGTTCATCGTTGTGAGAAATGTATCCAATTGTTTGATGGTTATGTCGAAAAGTGAATAGTTGTAGTTAAAGAGGATTATTTTTGTGTTTGATTTATTAAAATATTCCCATCCAAACCCAATGTTGTGGCTCAGTTTGAGCCTGAGCTTTCTGAGCCTGAGTTTCCTCAGGACGAGGAGGATGATGGGTTACAGATGAAGGTCATGATTTAAGTGAAACTTCACAGCTACAGGTGGAGGAGTCGGCCGCTCCATCTGGGAGCTCAGTGCCTCTCAGTTCCCAGGCTGGCCAGTCCCATGATAATGAGTTATTCAGCCTTGAAGGTGATGGGGATTTGATTAGGGAGGACCGTTTGCAATTAAGGGTACGCCGAAGTGCTCGGCTTGCCAACAAATGGGAAGTTCGAAGTCAACGTAATGCTTTCATGCTAGGGAAACATATTTAACGATCTGATTGAAGTCAATCCTTTGTCAGTACAATGTTGCTTACACCCTTTTAACTTCTTTGGAATTGCCTCGGCTTTTGGGGAAAGCTTTTGGCTCTTTGGGACTTTGTTTTTGATCTTGGGTTTTGGGGACTTTGTCATGCTGCCATGGATTCTTGTTTGACCAATGCTTGTGGATTATACTTCATGTCATTTGCCTTTGGACCTTGGCAAACTCTGCCTTTGCATCTAAGACTCTGTTTTGTTATTGAACTTTTGCAACCTTATTTCTACGTTTATGTTTTTGCTTTTTCTTCAATAAACTACAAAACCTACAGCCTTGGTGTGGGGTGTGGTTCTGAGCAAGGTGAATGTATCCTGAGCTGCGACACCCAAGTAACGAAGGTGGAGTCAGGGGGAGAGCTTTAAACTGGCTCCCTTCCTTCCTTCACAACCGTGGACAGCGAGTGGAGAGGGGAGGCCTGGTCTCTGAGAGGTCCCCTCTCTCTCTCTTGTGGGGTTCCTCAGGGGGCCATTCTCTCCCCTCTGTTGTTTCACATCTCTATGCGACCACTTGCTCAGCTGGTTCGAGGTTTTGGGCTGGAGTGTGACCAGTACGCCGATGACACTCAGCTGGTGCTGAAGAGGGAAGGCCGACCGGACTCTGTACCCGAGTATTTTCATCAGTGCCTCGAGGCCGTTACTGGATGGCTGCATGCCAGCAGGTTGAGGGTGAATCCAGCAAAGACGGAG